TCGTTAGATGCTATATGAAAAGTGTGACGCAAACAACATAAACTTTATCATATAATAATAAATAACACATACAACAGGTAAAACACGAAAACAAGTGAAATCAAGGACGAACTTGGATTAATAACTAAATGACGTTATATGAATAAATCCCTCTAGTTTTCGACCATACGAAATTCGCCGGTTTTCTGTTAAAAACAATATGGCGGCACAAAATTCCTAGAAATTTTAATAAAATTATTGATTCTTCGACTTTCGGACATTTTAATCTGAGAACTAATTATGTATAATTAACCAAGAAATGCGTAAAAATTATATGGATGGATGATAATGTTACATAAATACGTTTAAAAAATTATGACGTCATTTTTTTAAGAAAACGCCCGAAAGTCGGATGCATGAAAACTGAACTTAAACGTTTTGATATTTTGACGTAATCAATTTACCTCTTTTTGTTTCCTAGCCTACTACTTTAATTTTTAGACCATATAATCCTAAGCGGCAGCCTAACATGATTTGTTCTCTTAATATCTCCGGTTAGAGAGCAGATAGAGAGTTGCGATTTGTGCTGATATTTTGGAAATTTTGTGCTCTATTTAACAGTATAAAGAGAAATATAGCCTCCTATTTAATTTTTTTACGCAAACGCGCTATATCTATTATGATGTCAAACAGCGCCCTCTATCTACCACGAAAAAAAATATGGACACAAAATTTATACTGGGGATTATTAAAGAAGAAAAGCTCTTTTAAACGAGCCCTAGTTTGTTTAAATCGCATAACCCAAACCAGAGTTATCATTATTTTAATAAAAGCAAGTTTAACCTTCCCCCACCACTTTATTTTATGACATAGAGCAAAATACACTATCTCAAAAAAAATACAAATTTATCGATGATTACAATAGTAATATTTAAAATACCTGTTCACCTGCATATTTTTGAGAAAAACCCTGTTTTCTGATTGGCTATTAGAGAAACGCCCCCTAGCGGGCATTTTTCGAACTTGAAAATAATTTCCAGCGATTTCTCTTGGTCGATTTACTTATTAGAATTTTTTTCCCAAAGTTATACGATAAGTAGTTTCTGAGATACAGCCGGCGTCCATTCTTAGTTGACCACCCGGTACTATTTAGTACTATTTCGCGAAGCAATCGAGGTCAAACTTGGTAGATTCAGGAATATAAGTAAACATGGAGTACCTATGAATAAAAGTTGTAGTTTTTAACGGAGTGTAATGTAATACCACTATACCGGGTGCGTCTCGGAAATGGCTCACCCCTATAACCTCTTTTTATTTTTTCAGATAAAAAAACGAGATTTGGTATGTTAGTATATGACATAAATTAGGATTGATTGACGTATTCAATTGTTTTGGTCACTTCTTGTTTCACCGGAAATGGCTACAACTTTTGATTTTTAAATGGCACCCTCGGTATTTTTTTACTTTATTCGATAGAAAATGACATTCTAAATAGAATGACATATCATATGTGAACTTTTGACATTCCCGCTTAATAAAAAAAAATTATTTTAAATTTCAATCTAGAGTGCCATGGCTATGTTAAAAACACTAATTCTTAATCAAGGAGCCTTGAAAAAATATATTTGATAGTCTAGGGTTTGGGTTTCTTCGCCTGGTCGGTTAAAAGATGCCCAAATCGTAGTTTTAATCATATCTCAATTTTTCTTCATATCTCAATTCATTCTCAGTTTTTTTCAAACGGAACGAGGGTGGCTCGTTAGCATATTTGGAAAAAGCATTTTTTTACGTATACTTATTGATACCACACACTTGGTATTTCCAGTCAAATTTTCGTTATGAACCGCAAGTTACAATTTCAAATAAACCATATGCGAAAATGTCAAAAGTTAGGTTCTGTGGTTGGGTTAGGTTGACATATTATGTCATTCTATTCAGAGTGTTATTTTTTATCGAATAAAATAAAAAAATACCTAGGGTTCCATTTAAAAATCAAGAGCTGTAGTGATTTCCGGTAAAACCGGAAGTGACCGAAAATATTTGAATACGTCAATCAATCATAATTTATGTCATATACTAACATACCAAATCTCGTGTTTTTAACTAAAATAATAAAAAAGTTATAGGGGTGAACCACTTTTGAGACGCACCCACTATTAAACTGATATGAAAAATCAAAACAGTGCATTTAGAAAACATTTACCAAGGGTAGATTAAATTGGCTAATCCTCTAAAGTTACACAAGAATGTTTAGTTTTAATCATTGTCTAATATTATTAATTGCAATATAGTAAACAAATATATTTCCAAAACTTAAAATCGTAAAACTGTAGGGCAACAGAGACTGTTCTGGCACGGTATTAAACTATTTAAAAAAATCCTCTAAATATTGCTTATTTTTGAATGAATTTAGATCAAACCATGTTATTGTTATATACAAAAGTATCTTTTACAGTTTTCACTTAAAACAATAAAAAAACATTGCTTTTGATTGTTTGATTGAGAAAACAGGAAACACAAAAAAATCCCCCGTGCCCTTCTCCGCAATTTCCGAGTAGTTTTGAAGCGCATTTAAGAATCGAATGTAGGTCGAGACAAACCGAGATGCGTCAACACAACACGAAATAAGCCGAAACGCGTCAAAGTTAGGCAAAAACAAAACGCGAGCTTGACCTGTTTCCGTCTATTCAACCTTTAAAAATCTAAAGCAGTACGCACTGCCAGAATTTCTTTAAAAATTCAAAAATACTGATTCTTCCTTCTTTATTCATTTTTGAATCCGTTTGCTTAATCCGCGAGCATATATCTGCTATTCACGAAAGGCCATCTCACAACTATTCACTTACTAATGCGGAGCACGATCTTTATCTGCCAACCCCGAGCTCAGAACTAGTTATAGGCTCAATACTGTACAATGCCAAAAAAATGTACAATCGTCCGCCTTTGAATATCAAGTCGCATTCATTCTTTCCCGCATTTCGCAAAGCTCTGAAATCATACTAACTGGAGAATATATACGGTAAACGACTTTTTTGTTGATGCTTAATCATGAACAATTTTGAATTTTAAAATTTTGATCATCTCACACACTGAGTAAAAGTCTAGTATTTAATATTTTATGACTCCTAAATGATTATATCCATTTACAATTTTCCTGTTGTAAAATTTTATTGCTACGCCTTTTTTTGTGTTCTGCAATGTCCATGTAGTAATTTTAATGACGTAAATTTTTTTGAATTTTATGATTTGTATTGTATGATATTTTTTATTATTTGTATATTTTTTGTGCTTTTGTAAATGCTTTGCCGATGAAGCTATTTTGGCTTTCTGTACAGGGTGGTCGAAATTGGTCTGTTTTGACAGAGAAAAACTATTTCCTGGCTAGATAGAGCAAAACCGACATAGATGTCATCGGCTCGATTTCTGAGACACCTTTAATGGCGTTAACCGCCTGTTAATATTTTCACAGCCAACTGAGATACAGGGTCTTTTTGATTTTTTTACGATACTACTTATTTTGAAAATTGACCAATACTTTTTTATTTCGCGGAATAATAAGATTCTGTAAAAACGTTCTTAAAGCACTTTTTTAAGCACAATCCAGTGGCATAGTTAGTTTTTTTTTATATGCTGGCTCTTTTTGTCAAATGTAATAAAAAATATAATTTTTTAAATGGAAATCATAGTTGGCTATGAACTTAAAAAAATGCTGACGTTTAACCGTTTCCAACGATATAAAGTTATAGGTATCTATTTCTTAGAACGAGAGAAATATTAGGTTTTTGATCTTTATATCGAAGCGGGTCTTGATGTTGTGTTGACCTATTTGCCTAATTTCTATATTATATTTATTATTCTATATTATTATTTATCTGCGTAATTAAAGACTTTTGAAAAGGTAAATTAAAATTCTATATTAGCATTAGTAATTACAATTGAAATCGATACAAAAAACAAACGTATTTTTTGAGTGACAAATATATTTTACTAAAAAAAATAATCAAAGATGTTCACACTGAGCACCTCCTTGTTGAACACACAATAAACATCTTTTGCGCACAGAGTTACAATGATTTATTAGGCGAACTGGTGTAATAAGTCCATAAGCTTGCCTAGTAGCCTTCTGCAATTCTTCTCTCGTCCCAATGGTTTTTCCTTTATATATAAGGTGTAATTTTCCCCATTTAAAAGTCGAAAGGAGTTAAATCACAGAAGCTAGCAGGCCAAGATATGAGGCCTCTTCTTCCAATCCAGTTCTCTCTAAATTCTCCATTTAATAGTTCAGTTGTAACCCTGGCCTTTCAATTGTAATTGGTAATACTAATATAGAATGTTGATTTACCTTTTCAAAAGTCTTTAATTATGCAGATAAATAATGATATAGAATATTAAATTGTGATAAAAAATAATTAGGCAACTAGGTCAACACCATCTCAAGACGCGCTTCAATACAAAGTTAAAAAACCTAATATTTCTTTCAGTCTTAGAAATAAATACACATAACTTTATATCGTTCAAAAGGGTTAAACGGCAGCATATTTTTAAGTTCATAGCCAACTATGATTTCCATTTAAAAAATTATATTTTTTATTATTTCTGACACAAACTGCAAGCAGAGAAAAAAACTGACTACGCCACTGGATTGTGCTTAAAAGAGTGCCTTAAGAACGTTTTTACAGAATTTTATTATTCCGCGAAATACAAAAGTTATGGGCAATTTTCCAAATGATAAAAAAATCAAAAAGACCCCGTATCTCAGTTGGCAGTGAAAATATCAACAGGCGGTTTACGCCATTAAACCTGTCTCAGAAATCGAACCCATGACATCTATGTCGGTTTTACCCTATCTAGTCAGGAAATAGGATTTCTCTGTTAAAACAGACCAATTTCGACCACCCTGTACAATAAAGCGTTATTTATTATTATTATTATAATCATCTCCCGTCAAGTAAAGAATATACAAGGAAACCGTCAACGAGATGGCAGGAGTTTTATGACATGTGACAATCACAAATCATGGATAAATCTAAGGTAAAAAAGACATTTATAATGTGAGTTTACTTCAAACTGTCAATTTAAAATCCATATGGCTTCGGTTTATTATTTATACGATGATGGTCTTCATATAGCAGACGACATAGTCCAGAAATATTCGTAAGTCCCTTTGAAAGAAAGCTATGAATATCCTTTCCTCTAGTTTAACATTTAAGAAACCAGGACCAGGATGTCAAGGATAATTATTTGGCAGCCGTAATTATACAAAGGGCTTACCGAGGATATGTGGTGAGGAAGGAATACAAAGCAGTACGCAACGCCGCAATAACTGTACAAAGATACGTACGCGGTTGGTTGGCTCGCTATCATTTACCGGACATCGTGCAGGAGTATTATGACAAAATGTGTTTACGCCATTACAATAATATGGCAACTAAAATTCAATGTAACTGGAAGGGATATATGGTAATATGTCACCAAATTTTATTATTTTTTAATTTATATTTCAGTAGAATATTTCCATCAAAAACATAGAATGTAATAAATGCAAATAAATCTCACAACGCAACAGGGGCGGATACAGGAATTTATTTTAGGGGGGGCCCAAATCAAAAATAATATAAAATATGCCTTTTAGGGCGCCATTTTTAACCCAAAAGACTAATATTTAACCACACTTACAGATTTTAGGGGGGGGCCGGGACCCATGTGCCCCCACCTCTGTATCCGCCACTGCAACGCAATTCTTCCACTACAAAACATTGTGAGATCTCATGTAAAACCAAAACACTCAAAACTGTTTTAATTAATTTCTATTAAAGCATCTATTTAACAATTTTGTTATAACTTGTTAGAATCAATATTACACATTCTTTTCTGTAATAATTATGGTGACTTAGCAATTGCCACGATATGATATTCTACTAACTAAAACAATTTATTCTCAAGTGCACTGTTTAGATTTACTTAGTAATCGAAATGGTGGACTATTCTTTTATAATTATAATACTGAACAATGTTTTTGCATTTCTATGTTTTTGCTGGGATTTCATTTCTTTTTGTAGGTCATCCTCATATTTTTTTTCGGATAATATATCTTTCAAAATAATATTAAAGTAGCAATAAATACATAAACTTTGAATTATTATTGTTACATTCCTATGCAAATCAAATCAGAATCTATAACATAAATCCATTAATTCTAATTTTCTATCTTCTTTCGACTGGAAAGTCAGTTACCGGTAACTGCTAGACTAGCTAAAACTAACTTTTAATCCATATGATACGGATATTTCGAGATTTTTCGTTTTTTCTACCGTTATAAATTTAAGGCCCAATTATACCAAAGTAATATAGATAAGTAAAATAGGTACCAAAGTTATATTTTTTCTTATGGAACACCTGGTATTTTATTTCATTTTTGGATTCTTGGACGTAAAATAAGGCATTTATTATAAGGGTTTAATAGTTTTAAGGGTTTAAAAGCTTTGGTTTCTGAGATATTTAAAGATATTTAAATATGCATGCCATTATAAAAAAGTATGTCAACACTTTGAACATTACTTTTCAGAATTAATTCTTGTGCTGACTTTCAAGCCAGAGAAATAAACTTTACTAAAAATTTTGATTGCTTCCTTAAATGTATACAGGGGTATCAAAAATTGCTGTTCTATTTTAAATAAAAACTTCGTTATTTCGAATGCAACACTATGTAATTTTTTAAATAAGTCGAAGCAGATTTAAATGCTCTTTCAAACTATATTAGGGTTTCCTAGACCCTATCTGGCTCAGATTTTGGATAAAAAGCGATTTGTCACAATGGCAATTTTCTAGTGACACTAAGTAGATATTTTCAAAATCGACATTACTTTATAGACTATATTTAAATTTATAACAGGCTGTTTTTATTTAATTTACCTACAATAAGCTTAATAGGTAAGTATTTATTATTTTATCAAGAAAAATGTAGCAGTATCTGCTGGCGGAAGAAATGGATATGTTACTAATGATTTTATTTTGTGAGGACAATTGCTTTGGGGGAGGTTAGCGACCTGAAGGGTTTATGCTCAAAGATAGAAAAATAGGAATAGAAAATAGAAATTTCCTTGACAAGCGTTCCTTTGAAAAACTACTTTTCCTATTTCGCAGAGCTGATCGTGTGGTATATGAAAAACCTATTAGGCAGAAACCTGTCGCTGGAAGTGAAGAAAATGAATTTGCTTTAATTGGTTCTTCTATGGAAAATCCAATAATATCTACAAGTCATCGTAATATAAATCAAAGAACTACTTTTTTATTTTTCTTGATAAAATAATAAATACTTATTTATTAAACTATCGTAGATAAATTAAATAAAAGTAAACTGTTATAAATTTAAATAATGTCGATTTTGAAAATAGCTACTAACTGTCACTAGCAAATTTTAAGTCACCAGCCATCTTAATTGCCATTTTATTGTAAAATCGCTTTTTATTCAAAATCTGAGCCAGATAGGAAACCCTAATATAGTTTAAAAGAACATTTAAATCTGCTTCGACTTATTTTAAAAAATACATAGTGTTGTATCTGAAATAACAAAGTTTTTATGTAAATTATACTAAAATAGACCAGCAATTTTTGATAGCCCTGTATACATTTAAAAAAGTAGTAATTTTTTTAGTTAAATTTATTTTTCTGGCTTCAAAGTCAGCACAAGAATTAGCTCTGAAAAGTAATGTACAGGGTGTTGACAAACTTTTTATTATAGCATGCATATTTAATTTGATTTAATTATCTCAAAATCCAAAGCATTTAGACATATTAAACCCTTATAATAAATGCCTTATTTTATGCCCAAGAATCGAAAAATGAAATAAAATACCCAGTGTTCTATAAGAAAATATATAACTTTGGTATGGATCTTAGTTCTGACACACCCTGTACATTTGAAAATAATTTTAAATTATGCACGTTGCCTCTCTACATATAGCCATAAAAAATGTTGTTTCTACATCTTTTCGTTTTCGTATAATCAACCGAGGCGAATGAGGTGCGCCAACCTGTATACTATCTTTCCTTTTATCTTGGCGGTTGGTTGAGCGCGCGCCCCTGTACCCTATTAGGACCAACCTCCACTGCTAAATACAGGAAAGTTTTCCAACCATAGTAGATATCTGTGGATACTTGATATTTTTGAATAAAAAGACAAAAAGTGAATATCAACTATTGTTATAGGTAAGAACGGAATATAATATAAAAGAGATAATAAGAGAGAAACAGATGAGTAACGTGGAGAAAGCTGAACAGAAAATAGAACAGAAAGATGAAGCTGATGAGAAAAAAGAAGAAAGTAACACATCAAACACATACTTGTTTGGTTCAGACAATAAAAGACGAGACACTGATATGTTCCATAAAATGAAAATATTAGAGATGCTGTTCGATAGGCATCATCTATTAAGTACCACCATAAATAAAGGCGTCTTACATAATAACAAGTAATAATTTTGATGGGGTTGCCACCAGTCCTTTTTTGAAATAAATTGTTCTTTTGACTTTTTTACCTAAAATGTCCTTTTTATTTCCCTTGAGATAAACATTAATTCCTGAGAAAATTGTCTACAGCAACCAGCGATATTCCTTTCGTCCAAATTTAATTACACATGTTATAAAATTTACAAATGAACGTCTTTTTTCAAACGTCACAAAAGTATTCATTTTTTGCGACGCGATTGTAATATAAAAAAGTCATTTTAATGCGTAGGCATAAAAGTAAAGCACTTTTATGCCTAAGCACAAAAGTAGAAAGGTACATAAAGTGTAAAATTCAACGAGTGTAACCAGAGTGAAACGTTTAACCATAATTTTATGATATACCTTACTCACCTGCTTTGCCTACAGGGTATTACTTTTAAATCTTTTTACATCATTTGCAACGTTTGAAATTGTTTAAAAAAATATTTGTGGGCGTTTGAAAAAAACAGCATGTCCTATTCGGAGTAAAAATGACTTTTTTGCCTCGCCTGTAAAGTCGTCAAACGTACAGCCAAAAAAAGTATCATTTTTACTCCTGATAGGTAAAGCATATCTCCGTTTAATCTCAGATTATAGTTTAGGCTGTATTTTTAACTATTTTGATCTTAAAAAGAGCTTTTCAAAATTTTAAAGTAGCGATTTATAATCGGCGGTTTGTAATCAGCAGCTTACCCCCCCCGCCTCTCACTACCCCGGTCCTTTTTCATAGTCCAATGTCCCTTTTTTCCTTTGCCAGAAGGTGGCAACCCTAAGTTTTGACCACAGCCTTTTTTCATTAGACAGCCAGTCAAAGCACCAGTCTCTATAGTTTTTTTTAACGAAGCTTCAATGGTCCTCAAAATCTGACACAAGATATGCGAATATCTAAACAGGTAAGTAAGCGGAATTCCACATAAATGATCATAGCTCGACTAGCTGTCTAATAATAGGCTGTGGTTGTAATATTCACTTTCTTTCAATTCAGGTAATTATTTTTTAGGGAATTGGCTGAAATTGAAAAAGTACTATCGACATTTTCTTGGAAAGATTATATGACCGAGCTTAAAAGAATGTACAGGAAATTCTATCGCAAAGAGAAAAATGAAAAATATGTATACAGATATGAAAACAAATACCTTCAACGTCAGGAGGATCTACTTAGACAAAGAGATAAAACCAAAGACGTGAAAGACTGTTTTATGGTCAATTATAGCCTGGATAATAAAAACCGGTCTTTAATTTCAATTGTATACATAGTCTGTCCAGCGAAAGAATATATGATTCCTCCTCCGTTTGAATTATAATGACAGATAACTACCGTCACTGTCGTATATTTCTTAGCTGAACAAACTATACATAGGAAAGATTCTAAATCAATAAATTTTTAGATTCATATTAAAATCACAACTGCCAGAAGAACAATATGAAAAAAAAATTATGTATTTAGGAAAATACACTGCACAAAGTAGCAATATTGTTAGATCCGAAGATAAGACTAAGAATATTTGCGACAAAGATTTTGTGTTAACTCTCAAAAAAATTGTAAGAGATAGCAAAGTACCACCTTATTATGCAGACTTTTGGTACAAAGAATGTATCGCCCATACTTTAAAGGAAATATAAAGAATAAAAATGTCTTTCGCCCATGTTCCTTCATGTAAGAAAGTGAGAAAAATAAAATAATCCATTTAAATAGTTTATAATCTAAAATATAATAAATTTTGGATATTCACAATTATGTATTATCTATTTATTAGGTAGAATGAATTTAAACCCTAGATATATACTTACGTGGATAAATCAACGCCATAAGTTTAGCATTAAAAAATTGGCGCCGGGATGCACGTATAGCCGCCCATACTAAAATATGTAAATATGTTAATAAAAAGCTGGTAGGCAGTTCTTTTAGTTTCAAAGTAAAGGAATTTTTCCAATTTTGGTCCGCGGTTATTTCCCCTATCCGCCACCTGGGGTCGCGTCCGATGGGAGAACGGACTACGGAAACACGGACTATCTCAAAAACTGCGACTCTGACGGATTTTGATGTTATTACAAATTTTATTGCAAATATTATTCCTAATCTTAAATTGAAAACCGCGTTTCGGTAGCTACTGTAATTTTGGAGTTACGATTTTTTTTAATTTTTAACCCCGTCCCATACCCCCTTACCAACCCCCCACCCCCACCAAAAACTAATAGCCAGATTCTCGGGTGCCACAGTATTTTTGTGCCAAATTTAGTTATAATCGGTTTAGCGGTTTTTGAGTTATCGTGTTACAGACGGAGAGACGGACGGACAGACAGACAGACAGACAGACAGACAGACAGACAGACAGACAGACAGACACCAGGAAAATATTTTGTATTTAGGTTATTTATGACCCAAATAACTCATTTTGAGTGAAATTAAAAATACTTTTTTTTGCCGATCTTAATAGCCTACCATACCTATTGGTATGGTCTTCCTTCTTTATTGCACTTATGAAACGTTCAATAGGTTTGTCTTTTCCAAGGACCTTAATTTGTGCATGCGCATTAAATGTTACACGTATTTCCAAAATAATCACAATTTTATACGGTTTAGAAAGTACAAATTATGCATTGTTATGGAAACCAACTTTTCACTGTCATCATATTATCATAATCGTGTCATAATCATATATGAATCATATCTCATAATTTTATTTCTTATTTCCATTGTGTAACGACGCTTGTTTTTTGCGTTTTTGATTTTAAAAATTGTATTAATTACTCTTTCATCGACTGCTTTTATATAGCCAAGGATGCAAGTGTGTTCAGTGAGAAGTTAATGTTAAGTTTGTGCAATTATATTTCTATTTTTTTTCGTTAGACTTTCTAAATACTCTCTAAATACTAAATGACTAGAAAGTGTTTGGTGTGTGGAAGTTCTAATATAAAGGTCCCCGAATTATATTTTCATAAGCAAGTAAAATATTCAGTTGTTCTTTTATTTATATTAAACCACATGCATACTTCTGGTTAGATTTCCTAAGAATTGTGATATTCATAGGGAGTGGCTAAATGTATTTTTTATATAATTTAATTTTTAGACAGTAAACGTTTAATTTATTGTTCAAATATATGCATTTTACAAATTAAATTTTTAAAATTAATGTTCAAATTTGGCGCGTGGACGATAGGTCCTCGATAAGGATAGATAGAGTAGAAGTAGAAGCACCGCTGTGCAACAAAAGAAGAAGATAAATGGTAGTGATGGGAATAATCGAATTATTTTCACCATCGAATAATTAGTAATAATTGATATTTCACAATCGAATTAATAATTCGAATTATTTAGTAGTATTATAAATTTAACCTAAAAATAAATTCGTCCCAGCTAGTGCTCGTCTAGGGGCTATTTTAAACAAATTCTGAACCATTGCCATACCTATATTCTATCACTGAATAAAAAATTAAAAAAAATATTCTTTATTCAATGTATTCTATTAACTGTGCCGAAGCCGTTTAATAAATTAAACCATAATTTAAAGTTTTAAATTTAAAAGTGCCGAGTTTATGATTGTTTCAATTCCTATTGAAAAGCTCATATCTAAAATAAAAGCTTCTTCTAAAACGATATAAGTATGTCCTTGTTTACGTGCGGTTCGTATTTCTTTTTATTTTATCAGTTGCAATCAATAATTATTTAGATAAAAGAAGAAAATTAATTTTAGTGTTCGGTGAAATTTGGGTGAGATCAAAGGGTGAGATGGAAATGAACCAAATAATAGTAGTATTCTTTCGTTCTGAACGAAATGAAAATGTTCACTTAAACTGATTTATTCCTACGTGGTATAGGAAATAACAATGATTTCTGGATTTTTCTATATCGGATCGTTCCATTCTTTGCCGATTCCCTTTATAAATCAGTTTAAGTGAAAATTTTCAGTTCGTTCAGAACGAAAGAATACTACTAATAGTACTATACTAATTACTAATATTCGTATTTGTCCATAAGAGGTTATCTTTTATGTTCATTTGTAATTCGGTTACCACAGATATAATATAAAATACTACTAATTTTTATCTCGATATATCGAAAAAGATAATTCGAATTAGTTAGTTTTAATTTACTATCGAATTAGTCGTATTATTTAATTCGAATTTTCCCAACACTAATAAATGGAAGTCGTTGATATGTTTGCGACAGTTTCCACAGTGATTTACTTATCCAAGTAAGAATACATGATCTATGATTAAAACAAACCAATAAAACCACGTTTTATTCAAACTTTATTAGCATTTTAAATAAATGTATGTACAAAATATAAAACTAAAATATATAATTCTAATTCGCATATCCAACATGTAACTTTGTATTACTGTCTCCTAAGGCACAGCCTATTAAAAATTATTTAATAATCCTTATAAAAAATATTTAAGCTGTATTCTATATAAATAATAACAGAGTACTTATATTAATAAGGCATTTCGTTCACAGTACAACTCATTATGTTTTAATATTATAAGTAAATTCAAATTTACAATATAATCTTCAAGTTCTAGATATCTTTTAAATTTTCCATCATCAACCAATCACAAAGGAACATTTAAAATGAGTAAAAATTGAAATTTGTTATTATTTGTTTCTTATATCTTTAATTTTTTTAATAGTCAAAGCATATTGCTAAGAAGTAAAGGCATATGTTTTATATTATTATGTATTATAGACTGACTGAACAATACTATAAAGAGAAAATAAAAGCTTCTATAACAACATGAAAAGTAAAATTGTCAAGGACACAACAAGGAAAACTTAAAAGATATCTTACATTAATTAAGAAAATCAAAAATAATATAGCCTAATCATTGCCTGCTTCACATCCAACACACAGTTTCGTGTTTTTTACAAGAGTATCGGTCAAATTTATTATATTTAAATAAATGTATACCTAAGATAATATAAATCTAATGTTATCCTAATCCTAAAACATATTTAGGTACCTGCATAGTTAGTCTTGGAATGGACATTATTACTGAAACCCTAAAAAATACATAAAAATTACCAATCGTGTAAATAAAATAATTTAAATCTAGGTACGTTAGTAGGTAACTGAATGTAGAAAATTAGTTTTAAAGTCTGTCCAACGAGAGAATATATGGCAATAACCAGTGGCGCAACTAGAGGAGGACTAGGGGGTGCTTAGCCCCCCAATTTCATTATTAGTCCCCTGGGGGACGCGAAAACCAATTTTAAACGACACGCACTAGTCGTTTATGACTTGTCCAATATTGTTCAGATTTGGATTGATTGTTTGGTTGGACTGGTTCCAATTTTAAGTAATTAAAGTGCATCTATCTAGAAATTAAAAGCATATACGTTAAGTTGTCAACCTATGATTTTATCATTGTTAAATGTATTTTTTTATGCTGTCTACACTACTACGTTGTAGTATCTACGCTTAGTGTCCCCGAAATGTATTTCTGTAATTTAAAACTGGTTCGAATGACGCAAAAGCCTAAAACAGCGTACACACTATGCGAGAAACAATTCGAAACATGTCAAGGTCGCATTTCGTCGCCCAACTTTGAACGTATTTCGATTTATTTCTAGTTGTCTTGACCCACTTTGGTTTGCCTCGTCCTACTTTCGATTCTTAAAAGCGCCTGAAAACTACTCGTGAGGAGGGCGAGGGGTGATTTTTTTTGGGCGTTTTTTGTTGCCTCGTTCAATTTTGTTTTGTTTTGAGCTATTTCCATAACGTGGCGGTATCTGTACCGGAGGCAAAGGATTTTTTTTCATAAATCTCAGAGAAATAAGTAAACCTAGACGTTTCTAAAATAGCTGTTGTTACGATGATATTTCGTTAATTACATCTCGTTTTATGTTATATTGATATATATTCCACAGAATTAATATTTGAACACGCCTTTATTATATGTATAGTAGATATTTAGGAACAAAACTTTTCACTTAAACTGCAGCAATATAATTACAATATTTTTATTAATTTTATTATAATGAACTAGTATATAAAATTGTATATGATATGTTTGTTTACGGCCTTAATTGATTAATATAAGAGTAATATTACTTGATGAGTAATACTGGTAGCATTATCAATATATCCACTTGGTACAATAATTAATTGATCCGATGTCAACAAAAAGGGTCCACGGACATTATTTAAAAGTATATATATTCTTTTATTGTCCTTAAGAGAAATCTGTAAACGATACTATAAATCTATTCAAGTAGTACCGTATGATCGAATAAAAACAGCGTCAGCGATGGCTATGAAATCAAGATCGCAGTCATTTTATAATGTAAAATTATATGGGAAATGTCATCGATCGTCATTTCCAAGCCAACTGGACGCCATTTTTTTGTTCGATCATACGGTATTTATTATGCAGAGATTTAGACAATTAAAAGTAAAAAAACAAAACCAAGTTCGTAAACTAAACTTTGCTACAGACTACAGCATAAATGTTACTTTACCATAACCAGAAATAATAAATAATTAGACATTTTTTTGAATAATTTTGTGGTATATTTTGTTCATGAGGCGCAATACCGTGGATTATAAGCTGATAAATGGTAGACCGCTAGTTAGTCACTGTTTCATATTTTTTACTATATTGTAATTAATAATATTAGATAATGATTAAAACTAAATATTATTGTGGAATCTTGGAGGAATAGCCAATTTAATTTACCATCGGTAACTGTTTTCATATCAATTTTTCCATGTTTACTTATTTTTCTGGAGCCAAAACAACGTTTGACCTTAATTGCCTCGTGCTATTTCACAAAATAGCACGATAAATATAAGCCCGTGTTAATCTGGGTTAACAATAAAAAACAAACAACCAATCACGGCGGGTCTCGATCAATTTCAGGAAACGTGGGAAGTAATTTTTATAACAGGGTCTTATATTTCTCGTACTATTTCCAGAAATGTTTTGCGAAATGTCTCACGAAATATTTCCAGAAATATTTCGTAAAACATTTCGGGGATAGTGTAACGACTGTTTAAGGTTTCGAAAATACAATATGACATTGAGAAAATTAGGGTTTGTAAATTATAGTATGGCAACTTAAAGTGCGTTGGGATTTGCCTAGTTTTGCATTGTGACGTGTTCAGTTTTAATTTAAAAATGTATGCAGTTTTTCTAAAATTACTTAAAATCGGCTTGTCCAAAATTGTTCAAATTTAGCATGTTATTCAGTATACGCAGACTTTTAAAAAACCTATTTACAACTTCGCTGGAAAATTAACAGGGGAGCCAATATCTGGACAGTTCAGAATATGCATGCGATTTTCTGTTTCCAACGATGATGCACCATCCGGTATATCGAAATCTTATTCAACACAATGTACAGACTTTAGAAATAAAATTTATAAGCGCAGAAGTAAAATAAAGCAATATTATTTATAGTAGCCAAATTTTGTTAAGAATTTATTATACAATATGACGGAAAAAACGGCGTCAGCCATGGCACTGAAATGAAGATCGCTATAATTTTTTATATAAAATTATATGAAGAATATCATAGATCGTCATTTCGAAGCTAACTGGACACAGTTTTTGTTTTCTGACATACGGTATATCGGATATGAGTAATAGTAAGTCTCTTGTTCTGGTCTACCTGTCAAATTTGACATACAAAAGAAAAAATTGCTAAAAATGGATTGTAGAATTTTGAAAAAAATATATTTGAAGACTTGAATATTTATTAATTTTACGTATTAAGTATTCCAATTATTATCCATCTAAATTATTTTTTCGCATTTTCTACCCAATTGCAGCCGTGTCTCAAAGTACAGTCAAAAATATCGGTAGCAACGGTAGTGCTTTTGTCAATTACTTACTTAGAAGTCACATATCTAGTAAAATTCATTCTTCAATTAGTAGTTTTTAAAAAGAGAGATAAATTTGGTTGTAAACAAATTGACTTAGGTTTGATGCAAAGTATAAATCCCCAATTTATCGAGATGGCACCATTAAATTAATAATAGTGCCTGAAGCGGAATCTAAATTGAAGTGGAATAAGGAGAGAAATTATATAGGTATTATACCATCCCGATAAATGAGAGTTATTCATATTTTGCATCATGTAAATCCATATTCCTTACAACTTAAATTAACTTTTCCTTAAAAATTATTAATTTGTTAAATAGAATTAACTAGCTAAATATTTGATAAAAAAGGGACTATCCAACCATCATTTATTTTTGGCGAATTCAAATGTCATGTATCTAAATCATTAAAAATAAAAAATATCATATAAAAAAGACTTAAACTCATACTTCATATAATGAAGATCTAAACTACTCATATCAAGATTAATACTGACAGTTTGTTTTGACAACATTTAATTACCACTGTACACTTGATGCATTGCAATTAGTTGATAATGCTTCATGAGACAAAAATAGAATCTAATCTTCTTATGTAATGTCATATTAACATTAAGTCACGATCGCCTATAATCATTAAGTTAATTATTAATGCCAATACGTTATTTTAAGTAGACCTTTATTAAGAAAAAGAAACATTAAATAGGCACACTATGCATTAAAAAATATTAAACTTTCTTTTGTTGCATCAAAAATGTAAATAATTTAAATCAGTAAATACGGATTTCAAGTTATATCAAATGAAGTATCTATAAAAAAATCAAATCGACCTAAATAGAAGACTATCCAATATGCGAAACGCGGAAGACCTATCATTGGATGATCTGGTACAACAAACAACCTCCCAGATTATAAATAGTACCAGGAAGACCGCATCAAGATTAAAAGTTGCCAGAAATCCAAAAATATCCCCAGAAACACAACAACTCATGATGGAGAGACGGAAGCTGGATAAGAGCACATCACAATACAGAGAAATGAACAGGGTAATTAATAAGGCTATACGTAAAGACACTAGAACTTACAACACGTATATGATAAAGGAATGCATAGAACAGAATTCCAATATGAAAGTACTTAAGAAGGAACAGACTCGGAAGCAAAAACAAAATTTACCAACTGAGGGTGCAGCCACACTATCCTAAAAACGGCGTATCGGCGTAACGGCGTAACGACCTTGAATCGATTTCCCGTAATTCTATCGGCTGAAATTTTTGACAGATGAATTTGACAGATAAAATTTCTGACAGATGAATGTTTCAGCCAATAGAATTACTGGAAATCTATTCAAGGTCATTACGCCGTTACGCCGATACGCCGTTTTTAGGATAGTGTGGCTGCACCCTGAAAGATTCAGAAGGCCACCTAGTCTCGACCACAGATTCAATGCTGACGGTGATTGAAAAGTTCTATACAATACTATACAGCAAATAACAACGATCAGCGAACCCACTAGACCCCCAGTCATTAATGTTAACTCCGAGGAAATTCCTGAAATAGACGTAGAAGAAATAAGGAAAGCCCTGTCCCAAATGAAAAATAACAAAACACTGGGAGAAGACAGAGTAACAACCGAAATGTTCAGATCTGGTGGACAACTTCTACTGCAGAAGATGACGGAAATTTTTAATAGATGCATTATGGAACAAAGAATACCAGAGCTATGGCAAAACGCAACAATCACTCTCATTCACAAAAAGGGTGATAACACCAGACTCGACAATTATCGTCCCATCAGCCTGCTCTCGCACTTCTACAAAATATTCACAAAGATGCTGACAAATCGCCTGTCAAACAAATTCGACTTCTATCAACCTCCGGAACAGGCAGGGTTTAGAAGTCGATATAGTACTGTGGATCACCTTCAGGCAGTCCGCACTCTCATAGAGAAAAGTACCGAATACAACTTCCCTATATATGTCGCATTTGTGGATTATGAGAAGGCTTTCGACTCTATAAAGCTACACGCCATCCTCGATGCCCTACAAAATGCCAGAATAGACTACAGATACTCGGCCATAATATCATCTATTTACAAATCAGCTACAGTGACTATCAAACTGGATGACATAAATATCACAAATAAAATTAAAATGGAAAGAGGAGTCCGACAGGGAGATACTATTTCCCCAAACTTTTACACTGGCCCTGGAGGACGTATTTAAGAAGCTGAACTGGGACAAGAAGGGTATTAAGGTAGATGGTGGGATGCTTAACCACTTGCGCTTCGCTGATGATGTCGTTGTCCTGGCCTCATCGTTGGAAGAACTTCAAACAATGCTCGAACAACTTCACCACACATCTGCGCAAGTAGGTTTAAAAATGAATTTGTCTAAAACTAAAACCCTAAATGAAAATGAAGAGCAAGTTAATGTTAATGGACAAAGGATTGAGAACGTTAAAGAGTATATATATATATATATATATATATATATATATATATATATATATATATATATATATATATATATATATATATATATATATATATATATATATATATATATATATATATATATATATATATATATATATATATATATGCCATAAAACTCGGCAAGGAGAAAATCAAACAACCGAAATTTCTAGAAGGATCAAACTCGGATGGGCAGCTTTTGGTAAACTTAACTTTATATTCAAAAGCAAAATCCCAAATAGCCTAAAAAGAGACGTTTACAACAAATGCGTCTTGCCTGTCATGACCTATGGTTTGGAGACTATGACGATGACGGCACGAAGTGTGAACAGGTTGCGAGTGAGCCAAAGAGCTATGGAAAGAGCCATGATGGGTATCAGTCTTCGCGACCACATTAGAAATGAAGACATTCGCCGACAGACGAGGATAACGGACATCGTAGAGAGGATAGCTAACTCTAAATGGTCTTGGGCAGGACACTTGGCCAGACAGTCCGAGGAGAGATGGGCAAAAAGACTTCTTTGCTGGAGGCCACGCCTAGGAAAACGCCCAGTCGGCCGACCTCCTAAAAGATGGACTGATGATATCCAAACCGTAGCCGGTAAGAACTGGATGAGGAGAGTACAGAATCGAAACGAGTGGAAGAAACTGAGAGAGGCCTACATTCTGCAGTGGATGAGTAATGGCTGAGAAGAAGAAGATAAAAAAACATCTTAAATTCTGAATATATTCATAAAAATAGATTTCGTTGTATTTGTCAAATGAATAAAAAGAATATAAAATAAAAATATATCACTATATTATATGATAAATTATGCGTTAGTTATTATTAGATTTCAATGTGTATACATACCTTAACAAAATTAGAATCCATGGGTTCCTACACCATACTACAATAAAAAGAAATTAGTAGAAAATATATTTACAAAAGATATTTAACAGCAAATAATTCAGATGTTATTTTTGACCACAACCATTTTAGAAGCATTTCATAAATTGTAACAATCTCTCATTGTCTTTGAAGAAATAGTTATCCTTAGGTATATCATTATAGAAATGTTCACTTGTGTTATTCAAATATATCATCACAACCATTCTTTATTGTTTTTTTTTATAAATTGTACCATACGATCAAAAAAACGGCGTCAAAGACGGCTGTGAAATGACAATCGATGATAATTTAGAGAGATCAAGCCTGAAACGTCATTTACTTGGCCCATACTCTCTTCTTTAATTTTTAATGGCATTCACTGCCAGTTGGTTAAGAAGGTTGGAATTTATCTTTATATTGAGTAAAAACTATTTTTAAATGGCCCGTGAGGCAAAACTGAGTAATATCAAACTTATAGTTTGACAGCATACATAATCTGAGCTAATACCGAAACGTGCACACGCATATGGTTCCTTGATGCGAGCAAGCAAATGAAAATCGTGAAAATCTTGAAGTGTTTCTAATTTTTGCAATTTCCACAGTGCAATAAAGAAGTAAAACATTGGAAAGAGGTGAGTGTTATACCTTGTGATGCAGTATATTTAGTTTAGTGTACTTTGTGATGTGATATCAAAATCCAATGAAATATTTGTGTCATGTAAATTTGCCCAATAACAGAAAAATGGCTACCATTTCCAGGAATGGGCACACTTTCCGTCACACCACACCACACCCTTGTTTTTTGCGCGTCAAATATCGTTATTTATGTTATCGTAATACATTTTAACAGTTTTTCTGTGAATTTTGTAAATTTCCGAGTCGAATGGATAATTTCTTTCATTTTGTCAAGGCCAATTTCTCACTTTTTTTTCACTAAAGATCACTTAATTCTGTTTTTTTTTGGCACTAAAAGCCTTTAAAATAAATAAATTCTCCTTTTTCATCAATTCATATGCATTTTAATTCATATTTTTTCATTTCATGAGATTTTATAAGGGATTTAAAAAAAACAAACGGACGGATAAAATTTTTTGGTCAAAAATCAGCACTTCGCATAGGTGGCTGCAAAATTTTTCCTTTCGTCTGAATTGATATAGTTACTTCAAGAAAAAGTTAGCTAAAGTCTCTAACTTTCCATTGGTGTGCATAACACTGTATAATGTTGACTTGAAAAAAAGTTATGGGTGAAATGTGCAAGTGTGCCCACCCACAAGCAGGTCTCCCCTATAGTTTAAAATTTAATATTTTTTTTTAAATAGATTCGTGTGTCTAGAAACGTTCTATGCTTTAATCTTTCTTTTTGTTTCTTTTTGTCAATTTTTAGTAATTAACGTCTAGAAATTGACCTCGCCATAATTACCATCGTTTGTCATTTCCCAGCCGTCTTTGACGCAGTTTTTTTTCGATCATACGGTATTATTTAAAAACCCCCCCATAAATTATAACTAATATTATTAAATTCATATTAATTATTATTATTACATAAACGTTTTAAGTATTTCTAAAATTCTTAATAATTACTTAAAAAATATAAGTAGAACAAAAATAGATTTTCTTCAGTTTAGTCTTAATTAAATTAGCTCATATTCCATCACCAAGGCTGGTATTGATTGGTCAACTCAATACTTACGAAACGGAGATTGTATTGTAAAACCAATCTCTCCATGTCGTATTAGACGACGAGTCTACCCTTGATTCTATTGATTGACAAAGATTTTTACGATCGTGGGACCTTCCTGAATGAAGGTCACACAAGATTTTCTTCTTGCACTCCATATCACATGTAGGTTTCACTGGACTGGCTTTATAATAATATCTGAAAGAAAATATAATAATTTAATTATGTCCGACCCTTTTAATAAAAATCTTATAAAGTGTTCAGATCAGACATTTGAAGTTCTTACGTAGGCAATGGGCAATAATAATTGATTTGTACCGTACCTATATGTATTTGTCAAATTATGATAAAACTGTTAAAAACAACTGTATGGTATATATATAGTATGTCTAACGAAATGATCCGTGACAGTGACAGTTATGTTTGCTATTTTAATCCACAGGTATTATAAAAGATATTATAAAAATGTTATACAGGGTTGGTTATTCACCACATACGACTCGGAGTATTGTAGCTACACGACACTTTGTATTGAATCGTTTATTCAATTTTTTCAAATTGTAAGTTTTGGGTTCGTTAAAGGACTATTAGAGCTACAATTTAAAAATATTTTTACAAGATACAGAGTGTCCCAAATAAGTAAAAAATATTATAGTTGTATTTTTTTAAATGGAACTCCTTGTATATTATACCATGTTTAGATTTTACGATTGAAATAAAGGTAAATTTGATTAAGGTTTATCACACTTAAATCTTACCGTTTTTGAAATATTTTCAATTTTGTGAAATTGCAGTAAAAAATTTAAAGCTTCATTTCTCCAAGGGTATCAATGTTTTTAATATTAAATATTTGCTAAAGATTATTTATTGATCAGATATTGTGCTGCAATAATAAAAATTATACTACATTATACAGAGTCTTTAAAAATTTATATTAAATACTTAGTAGCTTTAAACGGCAACAACTTGTTTAATTTAAATAGAACACCCTGTATATTTTAGGAGAATCAGATGCACAATTTAATTGTCTATCAAATTGTATTATACCACTTCTTACCTATCTCTTCAACTTTTCGTAGAAAATGCATTTTCTTATACTTTAGGCCTCATTTATCACTATACCCATGGAATATTGACATTTTAGATCATTTTTAAAGATGTAACAAATTTTCAAAGGGTACAAATACTAAAATTGTCGATATAGTTCGCTTATTTTATTAAAAAAATAAAACTGTTTAAGTATTTTTTTGTTAAAGAGGACCAATTAATATGATCCCAGTATTCAAACTACATTAATTGACTGTTTACTTTGATTAATAATAATAATTGCTCCAAATACTAAAAAACTGATTTTTTTTATGTGTATTAGACAGCACTTTATAAATTTGATTTCATTTTTTGACGAATGCTTATTTATAACAAAAGAGAAGTTTATTTTCATAACTTATTATTATATTGATTCTTCTGAGTGAAATCCACATTTATTCAGAATAATTATTAATTAAAAAATAAACTAAGTATGTAATTAACTAATTTTTGGGAGGAAATAATGGTGGTATATTTAATTGTTATACTCTTTTACAAAGAAAAAGTAAATAGTTTTCTTTTTATAAACAAATGGGCTTGCAATATTATTATTTTTACCACCTGTACATTCTGTATGTATGTTGCTTTAAAAAAATCTTAAATGTCAATATTCCATGGGTATAGTGATAAATGAGGTGTAAATTATAAGAAAATGCATTTTCTACAAGAACTTGAAGATCTAGACAAAAATGGTATAATAAAATTTGATAGAAAATTAAATTGTACATGTAATTCACGTAAAATATACAGGGTGTTCCATTTAAATTAAACAAGTTATTGCCGTTTAAAGCTATATACTAATTATTTAATATAAATTTTTGGAGACTCTGTATAAGGTAGTATCATTTTTATTATTGCAACACCAATATCTGATCAATAAATAATCTTCAGTAAATATTAGTATTACAAACTTTGATACCCTGGGATAAATGAAGCCTTAAATTTTTTATTGCAATTTCACAAAATTGATAATAATTCAAAAACAATAAGGTTTAAAATCAAATTTAGCTTTATTTCAATCGTATAATCTAAATATAGAATAATATACAGGATGTTCCATTTAAAAAATACAACTATAATATTTTTGACTTATTTGGGACACTCTGTATCTTGTAAAATTATTTTTAAATTGTAACTCTAATAGTCCTTCAACGAACCCAAAACTGACAATTTGTAAAAATCTAATCGTTTAGCTACAATACTCCGTGTCGTATGTGGTGAACAACCCTGTATATGTCGAAATGTTCCCCGTTAAATAAACTAAAGTTTTAAATAAAAAAATGATATCTAATTCCTTTGTAATATACCTATGAGGTGCCATGTTTAAAAAATATACTTTATACCCTTCGAATAAACATGATATTGTCATTTACATTTGATAGCGTTTCACAATTTTAGTAATACTTCTTTAAAACTGAACTAAAAACACTATAATTTGTTCTTTAATGAATGTTTTTCATCTCCAAAAATACAAGATGTTCTAGTGTTTTAAGTTCAACCTTTTAAGTAAAAATGTGTAGATCATACCATCACACATTATGCATAAATAGCATTCAATCAAGTGTCAGTAAGCCTTGAAAGATCTGTGTTAGGAAGACTAGGTATTTATGGTAAAAAATTATACTGAGAAATATGTTAACTAGAATATAAATCATAAACAGCTTCAAAGGCAGCATTAAGCTAAAGGGTGTCAATTCCACGTCGTCCTATACCGAGTAGGTCTCACTACTCTCACCAAGTGGCTCACCCCTATAACTTTTTTTTTATTTTTCAAATAAAATGACGAGATTTGGTATGTTAGTTGATGACATATATTACGATTAATTGACGTATTCAGTTGTTTATTTTACCGGAAATGACTACAACTTTTAATTTTTAAATTGCACCCTCGATATATTTCTACTTTATTAGATAGAAAATGACATGTGATAACATGTGGTTCATAACAACAATTTAACTCAAAATACCTAGTATGTTGTACCAAATTATTCGTAAAAAAATGCTTTTTTCAAATATGCGAATGAGCCACCCTTGTTCCATTTGAAAAAATTGAGATATGATTAAAAGTACGATTTGAGCACCTTTTAACCGGTCAGGACAAGACACGAAAAGACACATTAGACGACCAAATCTATTTTTCCAAGACTCCTTGATTCAAAATTAGTATTTTTAAAATAGCCATGGCATTCTAGATTGAAATTTGAAATACGATTTTTTTTAAGTGTCAAAAGTTGACATATGATATGTCATTCTACTCAGAGTGTAATTTTCTATCGAATAAAGTAGAAATATACCGAGGGTGCCATTTAAAAATTAAAAGTTGCATTTCCGGTGAAACAGGAAGTGACCAAAAACAGTTGAATACGTCAATCAATCCTAATTTATGTCATATACTAACCATACCAAATTTGTTTTTTTTATATGAAAAAATAAAAAAGTTATAGGGGTGAGTCAGCCATTTTCGAGACGCACCCGGTATATTCTTAAGGAAGAATCATTGCATACCAGTAGATGATAATAATTATATAATATATAATTATTAAAAAAAATACCGATTACGAGAGCATCAAAGTAAATAAGAGTATAAAGGATTTAATAATACAGACAATGGTCAAATTCCATCTAGTTCGTTAATCCTATTGTTCTAGTTTATGAAAATTTGTTATTAAGCTCTTCCCTAAAGTCTCTAAAAACTTACTTATAAAACAACTCAAACAGTTGCGGGTCATTGGTCATCCTTTCAACAAGATCATCCCAGTCTCTAGGTCTTAATGCGTCCATTCCAAATGATTGTCTAGCACTATAAAGTTGGAACCAAAGCGGGTAACCGTAAATGTTAGCTTCTCTAAGATTCATTATCCACGTTTCATGATCTACTATTCCCTACAAAATTCAATAATTATATTAGTGTGAATTAAACTGAATGAATTGTTTGATATATCAAAACAGCTACTTACTCTTGTAGTCTTGTCGTGATCGCCATCCACATAATAAATCCTGTAACCGGGATTCAGATGGTAATAAGGAGAGACTGACGGGCCGATGTATGCTACATTTATGGGTCTACCTGTAACAGAATATTTTGAAAACTATAGATTAAATGATTATTATTATTATTACTCACTCAAATCTTTATGGTCGTAAAACACTTCAAATTCATCGTAATGGGTGTGTCCAAAGAATTGAGATATTATAGTAGATTCATATCTACTGATAATTGCATAGTAATTCCTCGACCAAACTTTTAGACAATCTGAATGACCTGGTGGAATATGGCCTATTACGTGAACTTTTTCACCGTTAAATTCGGCAGATTGTAGTTCGTAAATGAACCACTGTAGTTCAGTGGCAGGATCAGTACTATTCAAAAGCAGCCACCTAAAAATATTATTGAATAGTATGATTTCATTTATAAATATACAGGCTGAGTCTTAAATAAGTGTAAATATTTTTTTTTCGACCACAGAAACGCGTCTTTTTTAATTTTTAGTTAAAAAACATAATATCTTTATAATATGGCTACACAAGTAGTAGCCCAGAAAAGATCCAGTTTTTCTCAAAATTTAAGAGAAAAATATTTTTTTTAACTTCCAAGGTAAAATATCTCAGTTATTTTGGACTTGAGATATGTTGTACCAAACTTGAGATATGTTGTACCTGAAAACATTTGCACTTATCTAAGACACCCTGTAGAATGTTCAAATTATTTTCTTACCAGTTCTTGTTATTACAGTAATTCATATTTAAGGAAATGAGCCTAAATCCTGGTCTAACCAAAACTGAATAGAATGCTCCTCTTCTGACTGTGTTACTGACTGAACTTGGTAACCATTTTCTCCACTGGGTGTCTAGTTCGTCATAAAGCCATGATATTGAGCTGTCTGGTGTATTAACAAATGGAGGTGGAAAACTGGAATATTAAAATATGCAAGAAATGCGGCCTAATTTGTGATATTTTCAATTTTTAGGTCCCTAATACAGTATGATCGAAAAAAAGATATGAAGCTGACATGAAGACATTCACCATATAATTTTATGAATTTCCTATATTATAAATGCTCCTTCTTAAGAGTGTAACAAGTATATTTATAACATGGACGGATCTATTGTTCTACATCACTTGACGTTTAAAGTCATAGGCTACTGGTTAAAATCAAGAAAAATATAGGTACGCTTTAAAACTAAATCCTAAATAAATTAAAAACGACTTATTTTAGGTATAGGAACATGTCAAAATTCAAAAAGTCAAGAAAAATATAGGTACGCAAATCAAGAAAAATATAGGTACGCTTTAAAACTAAATCTTAAATAAATTAAAAACGACTTATTTTAGGTATAGGAACATGTCAAAATTCAAAAAGTCACGAATTAAAAACCCTTTTCACCAGTGAAATAAAAAAAATGGGTTTCCATTTGAAAAAAATGATTTATGATAATTTTTTAATCGCTCAATTCCATAACAGCTGTGGTCATTATTATATGACATTCAAACAATTTAATTTTTGAAATAGATAGCCACATGTCTTCTCTTTATGGCATAGTGGCGTGATAATCACTAAATTTGACGTTTAGGCCACAATTTAGGCTATACACATATTTTTGACAGGCAGTTTTTTCCGTCCAAAAATTTTAAATGTTTTTTTTTTCTCAAAAACGGTTAATGTTAGGTATAGAGTGTTTAATATCAAAATTCATAACATTTTACAGAGAATTTAAATCTGTAATAAAAAATGGGGGCACCAATTTAAAATAAGAAAGTTGCTGTCAACTTCCAGTATTTCCGGAAGTGCCGCCATATTGAAAATATTTCTAATCGATAGTTCTCGTTGTGAAACAATGATGTGCAAAAAATCTCCGATCTAATAATAGACAAAATAATGAACGCTCAGCCTGGGGCACCCTGTATAAGCAGGAAATGCAATAATAGTAAGTATGATAGACAAGTAATATACACAAACAAGTACCAAAGAATAATTGATTGAACAGCAATTTTATTAATCTCTAAGAGTAAAGTAAAACCCGTAAATATTTTTCATTATTTACTTCAGAGTAAATTATGATAAATTATTCACGATTTGGTTGGTTAAGGCATATAATATCGTCATTATTATTGTAATAACTATACCTATTAACTGGAGCTGCTTCGTGATTACCCAATGCCGGAAAAATGGGAACACCAGGGAACATTTGGGACATTTGTTTCACAGTTTCTTTCAGTATTTTCAAATTTTCATCTCTTGTTTGATTCCAGATATCATGAGGCGGTAAATCACCCGTCCATAGAATATAATCAATGTCCTAAAACAAAGAGTATAATGTTTGAACTACAATATTTTTTGGCCAAACTTACGGGATGTGTATCTTGGATGTGCTGTAACATGTTATCTACTGTAATTTTTGGTGTATCACATTTTCTGTAATCACCCCACCTAAAATATTTTAAGTAGTAAAATTTATTTAAAAAATAAAACTATTAAAACTTACTTTCCAGCTGCAGATTCTTTAGATAAAGCATGCCCGTTTGTTAGTCTACAACACAATGGTTCTGCACAATCTGCGTTAGCACCTTCCATATAATAAGGATCATAATGAGTGTCCGATAAATGGAGTACTTTAAACGTTGGTGCGTTTACCTAATAAACATTATAATACTGCCAATATACGAGGTGCGTCTCAAAAGTGGCTCACCCCCTATCACTTTTTTATTTTTTCAGATAATAAAACTAAATTTGGTATGTTAGTATATGATATAAGTTAGAATTGATCGACGTATTCGATTCTTGTCGGTCAACTTCCTGTTTCACCGGAATTGACTACAATTTTTGATTTTTAAATGACACCCTAGGTATTTTTTAACTTCATTAGATAGAAAATGACATTCTAAATAAAATTACATAGTATACGTCAACTTTTGACATTTTGAATTAATAAAAAAATACTATTTTAAATTTTAGTACCATGGCCATAAATGTAACGTAAATCGTAAAAAAAGCGCTTTTTCAAAATATGCTAATGAGCCACCCTTGTTCCATTTGAAAAAAATGAGATATGATTAAAAATACGATTTGGGCATCTTTTAACCGGCCAGGATAAGACACGTAAAACATTAGACGATCAAATATATTTTTCCAAGTCCCCTTTATTAAAAATCGGTATTAGAAATACGATTTTCGTATTTATTCGTTTCATTCTATTCAGAATGTCACTTTCTATAGAATAAAGTAAAAAAATACCGAGGGTGCTATATAAAAATAAAAAGTTCTAGTCATTTCCGGTAAAATAGGATGTGATCAAAAACAATTAAAAACGTCAATCTCAATCCTAATTTATGTCATATACTAACATACCAAATCTTGTTGTTTTATCTGAAAAAATAACAAAGTTATAAAGGTGAGGTGAGCCACTTTTGAGAGGCACCGGTAGAGGGTGTAAATAAATAATAGTGAAAAATCTGAGAGGTAATTACTATAATGGGAGTTTTCTTTTTTTATTTAATTTTGCGTTTCCTTACAAAATTATTTGCTAAAGAGTTGGACCTATTTTGCTAAACTCTACATCTGACAATTATTTTAATATGACATATCGTCGGTAAAATGTATCAAACAGCTAACTCCATTATTCCTAATTTGACAGGAGAGCAAAAAAAAACGGTATAAAAAATATATACACATGCATCAAGTATATTCATGTTAATATGATAAAGAGATAACAATAATATCTGTTAGGGTGTAACAATAAAACTCAATATTTCGTTGAAAACTTAACGTAAAAGTTATGTATTAAACATTTTATTTAATTAACATAAAAATGTTTAGCAGATTAACACGTTTCACTGACTTTATGTTGTATTACATTATACAGATTATAAACTTTGTTTTTTCTTTATTGTTTTTCGTGGTTTCAATTTTCGGAATCGGGCACTAGTTAGGTTACTAGTTTGCACACATAGCACGCCCACTTATGGCCTCTAAAATTGTACACAGCGCCTGACCGGCACAGTTATTAGTGAGATATCGAGATATCGGAAAACCGAATAACATCATGCAGTATTTACCTTATGGTTACAATATGCGCGAGTCAATTTTTAACGCAACACCCGCTAATAACGTTACCGCCTGACGTAATTTGCGGATCAATTACACCAAGCGCTATTTCTAAGTAACGTTTACAAATTGCTTAAATGAGCATGTGCGTGTATTTGACAACCGGGGCCGGCCGGCGAGATATTTTATTTTAGGTTATGTTTGAATTGTTTTAAATTATTACTTTAGTTTTATTACGTAATTTGATATTTAAGTAGCTGGGATTAGTTTTAATTAAATACCACCTCTTCCAATATTAAAGAACCTATAAAGAGGCTTAGGTTTACAGCAGATGACGACTTAGCCCTTCTAAGAGAATTTGTTGCTTGTTGCTTGTTGCCCTAAACCCACTGGAAGACGTGGAACAATAATGCACTGGAAATAAGCACTTTGGCCCTTTAGTTTTAAAATACCTAGTAAACACAACAATTTCAAAGTTTTAAATTCAAAGTTAGGTTAAGTTTAAATAGCGGACGCGACGCGAATAGAATTCTTTCCGTTCCGATAACTATAAATGAAGAGAGTTAATACCACCTCACGTAAAGGAAATACCACTTGGCCTTATTAACGTCCATGCACGCTATTCGGTTTAGCGATATCTCTCTATTACGCTGTTTATTGTTATTTTACGCGAGTTTATTTTTTGCGCACAGGAAATTTTACTCGTTTGCACATCGTCATAAAAAACAATTTTCGTACCACGAATTAGGGATAAGACTTTTATCTGTATACATATAGTATACCTAATCTGTGGTATTACTAACAGCGCTTTCAGCGCTCATGGTACTTGCCCGAAGTCGCGGACGGTCCGTCGCGGACGCTCCGCTCCATCTGAAAACACTGTAAGTCGACTGTACCGTATGATCGAAAAAAACGGCGTCAGCAATGGCTATGAAATGAAGATCACTGTCATTTTATATGCAAAATTATATGAGGAATGTCATTGATGTTCATTTCCACGCCAACTGGATGCCGTTTTTTCTCGATCATACATACGGTACTTGTTGAAAATGTTAATGTTGCCTACATTGGAAATTTGCAAATAAAAGAATTATACGATGTATTTAAAACAACAATCACCACCTAGATTTTTGGAACTAATTGACTGACGTTGCGTCCTCGTGTATAAATAAGTTACTTGCATACCTCTGGTACTTTTGGTTCGACCACCGTTGGTTTGGGTACAGGAGGAAATGCGACTTCCCATTCGTGGTAAGGATTGTACACATCGCCGCATGCATCTCCAATAACAAAACTGCATATCTCATCGGGTCCTGCAATTAGAAAACATGCTTTTATATTTATATCAAGTAAAAGTCGTAATTGATAGCTGATTTAATGCAACATAATAAATAATAATCACGTAGATATATTTTGATGTTTCTTTTAACACTACAGTCACATTAAGATTTTTCAGTAGAATTTAAACTTTGGATTTATTTTTGATTGGTGCCTTCTAACGAACAAACAAAACACTTTTGAATAAAGGTTAAATTGTATCCAATTAAATTATTGTGATTTCAGAAATACATAGTAATGAAACCTTGCAGATAAAATATAATATAGGATATGTAATATTATGAAATAAAAAATATATTTTTGGACTTTAACTAATTGGAAACATCTGCCATAAATTAATGGCCTGTAAAAATCAGAAAAAAGTGAGTCAAAGCAATTATAATTAAAAAACGCTGTCGCGTTTAATGCATAAACAATGTGAGCAAACCGGAAAAAGGTAGCATACTTTTACCGAGGAGAAACACAATTCATTGGAATCTGCGGTTTCGCGACAAAGCACGGAAAGAGAAACAATGTGACAGAAGACAGAAGATATGTTTTGTTATAAGTTGATGGCCTTGGTTTAAGCAAATTCAGTACACAACAAATGTTGTCTTGCATAGCTAATTATTGAATGCTATCGATATATTTATGTAACCAGGTCTATTAAAACTCGAGAAATTATCCAATAAAACTGTCATTTGAAAAAAAAAATTACGGGCAAGCTGATTTTGTCAGCAAGTGTCTTCTGAGTGTAAAATAAACAAAATAGGAAATGTTCCCCTTGCGGTTTTTGAGCAATAGGGGTGTTTTTTTTTTAAATTGTACTACAACAAAATAATTAGAGGCAAATTGTACATCAACATTCTCTATAAGTTCGCCTAATGAATTTTTTTTATAAGTTTATTATTTCCGGACTTAGCAGCCGTTTCATGAGCATTTTGGGGTGGTTTTCAAAAATTTTGTTTTACAGCAAATTGACCCGTATGAAAGTTGTTCATAATAAATGGACAAGCAACTTTTCCTCATGATTTTTTTTGTAGCTTATTCATTATTTTTGGAGATAGCGTCCAGTTCATGAACAAATTGGGGTAGTTCCATAATTTTTGTATAGTTCTACAAATTTACCAACTTAAAGGTGTTCATATTAAAATTACATGCAAACTTCCCTATGATATGTATTTATTTCCCCAAAACGAAACATGGAATTCATCAAGTGAATGAATATTATGATTTTTTTTTATTTGTATCGTCTTCTTTTTTGTGATGGACATGGCGTTGGCTCCTCAGATTGCCCCTACCCACACTTGCATTTAGAAGAGTTGCCAGTCCTTTTCTCTGAACGTCCACAATTTCAGCAACATTCAATAATTTCTTGCAAATAAAACACGAATCCATCCTGAAACAGGGATATTTAAAGCTACCACCACTTGTTCATGATCTGGGCGCTATCTCCAAAAATAGTCAAGTTACAAAAAAAGTTCATTAGGCAAAGGTATATGTACTCTTATTTTGAACGAGTTTCCTGGGGTGAATTTGCTTAAAAAAGAGTAACATTGAAAACTACCCTAATTTGTTTATGAACTGGACGCTATCTCCAAAAATAATCAAGCTACAAAAAAAAATTATGAGGAAAAGTTGCATTTATTATGAACAACTTTCATATGGGTCAATTTGCTGTAAAACAAACTTTTTGAAACCCACCCCAAAGGGCTCATGAAACGGCCGCTAAGTCCGGAAATAATAAACTTATAAAAAAATCATTAGGCGAACTTATAGAGAATGTTCTTATGTACAATATGCGTCTAATTGTTTTGTTGTAGTACAGTTTTAAAAAAAAAACACCCCTATTGCTCAAAAACCGCAAGGGGAAAATTTATTATAATTATAGACTTGTGACGGTGTCAAATATCACCACGTAAACATGTTATAGTTGTAATTAATAAAAAAACATATACCTTTCTTTTTGATAAAGGTGAGAATGCTTCGCGTTCAATAAAGAATTAATAAATTTTTAAAACTACGCAATATAATAATTAATAATTTTACACAAGCAAAAGCGTATATGCGTCTGTGGGATTCCAGTGCAATTATCTATTTAAATGATAGCGGTCCATAGCGCCGCGTAATAGACCGCTGTTAATTTACTAAATTGTTATGACTTTTTACGCATTAGTTTATTAGAAAAACGTGAATTTATTTACGACTGAAATTCATTTATTTAAATTCTTTATTTAACATTAGGTGCATAAAAAAAATATCACAATTTAATCACAATAAATAATGTCTATACCTGGCGGGTTCGTTTCTTGAAAAGGTTTTTTTGCCACTGTAAAGGAAAATCTACAAAATAAGTTATTTTTTGGAAACACCATTGGGGGGGCATTGAATCCGAACGAAAACCAGATTGCCAGTTATTTTTTACTAGTAAAACAAATTTGACCAACAGACAAAAAATGCTCTCCTCCTGTCGTCAGAAGCAAAACAATAATTAATTAAAAAGCGAAAACTATTTAAAATTTCTAAATATAATCCATGGAATTGTAATATTTTGTATATTGGGGTGTTATTGTATATTTATTTCGTAGATTTCGACCAAATAGTTTTTTAAGCCAAGATTAGAGAAATATATTATCCTTATATTATCTAGTGCTTCTGATTGCAAACAAGGCGAATATGATGTAATTTTTATATTATATTAAAAATAATTCACTCTATAACTACAATAATGCAGTGTGTGTGCTGATAAAAATAATCTTACCTATATTGACTTTTCCTAAAACGTAGATGACCTCGCTGGCAAACAATTCGGTAATTCCCTCGCACACTCTAGGCGACTGAATTTTTAAGTTTACACAAAAATGATAAATGGTCTTCTTAATCTCTTTTTCAGACTTGCCAGTTTTGGTGTAATGTTGCAACAGTCCAGCACCTACAAATAAAGAAAATACTAAAAATCTAGTGGATAAAACAGTAATTTTTAAACACTTTTGTAATTTAATTAATATGATCGTACTAGCTTGTGTTGTTTTCCATAGATAATAGAACATCATTTTTCAAAATTATCTTTTCATCTAGGTAGTTTTATTTTCTGTTTTTAATATTTTCGATTTTGGCATAATTGGGGACGGGCTACAGGATGACGACCTCGACATTTCGAACCGATGCCTCTAAATGGACGAAACCATCTTATGGGTCGATTAGAACCAAACTCGGCATAAATATGTTAAAATCTTTGGTTTTTGAGATTTAAAGATATTTAAATATGCATACTACAATAGAATAGATTATTAACACCTTATACATTACTTTTCAGTATTAGTTCTTGTGCTGAGTTTAAAGATGAGGAAATTATGAGGAAACCAAACCAAACTTTACTGAAAAAATGTGATTGCTTTCTTAAATTTATACAGGGGTACCAAAAATTGCTGATCTATTTTAAGGATTTATTTTATATAAAAACTTCGTTATTTCAAATGTAACACCTTGTACTTCTTTAAATAAGTCGAAACAAATTCAAATGCTCTTTCAACAAACTATATTAGGGTTTCCTATACGTATCTAGCTCAGAAGCCAGTTTTCAATAAAATGGCAATCAAGATAGCTGGTGTCGCCATGGTAATTTACTAGTGACAGTTAATAACTATTTACAAAATCGACATTGGTTTATGGACATTATTATTTAGATTTATAACAGTTTACTTAAATTTACCTACAATAGTTTAATAAGAAAGTATTCATTATTTTATCAAGAAAAATAAAGAAGTATCTGCTAGCGGAACGAATGTTACTAGTGATTTTATTTTATGAGAAAAATTGCTTTTTCAAGCAAGGGCTTATGCTCAAAGATATCCCAATAGAAATCTCCCTGATAAGCGTTACTTTGAAAAACAACTTATCCTATTTCGCAGAGCTGGTAATGTGGTGTATAAAAAACCTATTAGGCAGAAACCTGTCGTTGGAAGTGAAGAAAATGAATTTGCCGTAATTGGCTCTTTTATAGAAAATTCATATATCTACAAGTATTCGTAAAACGAATCAGAGAACTACTTGTTCGTTTTTCTTGATAGAATAATAAATACATATTTAATAAATATTTTTTATTAAACTATTACATATATATGTAAATTAAATAAAAGTAAACTGGCATAAATCTAGATAAAGTTCATAAACTAATTCGGATTTTGAAAATAGCTACTAACTGTCAATGACATTAATTGCCGATGACGACATTAACCCTCTTGGTTGGCATTTTATTGAAATATTGCTCTTTATTCAAAATCTAAGCTAGATAGGTACCTATATAGGAAACCCTAATATAGTTTGAAAGAGCTTTTGGATCTGCTTCGATTTATTTTCCAAAATACAGGGTGTTGTATTTGAAATAACAAAGTTTTTATGTAAAATAAATATCTAAAATAGACCAGCACTTTTTGATACCCCTGTATACATTAAACAAATCTATCAAATTTTTCAGTAAAGTTTAATTCTTTGGCTTAAAAGTCAGCACAAGAATTAATTCTGAAAAGCAATGTACAAGGTGTTGACAATTTTTTTATTATAGCATGCAAATTTAAATATCTCAATAACCAAAGCTTGTAAACATATTTGACCCTTATAATAAATACCTTATTTTGTGTCGACGGATCCAAATATGAAGTGTTCCATAAGAAAAAATATAACTTTGGTGTGGATCTTAGTTCACAACATACCCTGTACATTTTAAAATAATTTTAAATTGTGCACATTGCCTTCACACATATACCCATAAAATATTTTGTGTCTACATCTTTCCGTTTTCGAATAATCAACCGAGGCGAATGAGGTGAGCCACCCTGTACTATTATAATAGTGAAAATATAAGTATAATAAAGTGGCAAAATCGAAATACAATACAAACATAATACAAATTGAAACAATTATTGAATTCTGGTAAGTCAACAAACTTAATACTTTTTATGTCTTCTGATTGTTGATTTAAATACGGAATGGCTAGTGGTTGAGATTCTTCGAATGGGGTACTCGTGCTGAATACAATATTAGACTTACCGGCTCTGCATGCCGTACACGAAACTTTTGTCATGACCGAGTTTTCAATTTCGAAGGCGACCTGCTTCAGGTTGAGCAAACGCAGGGCCTTATCAACGAACTGGGGTAGGTGGGAGGATTTTTCTTGGTCTCTGCTGAACAAAAATCTACCCTAAAGCAAAAAATGCATTAAATAAAAAGAAATTGGAGGAATAAGAAAAAAGTTATTAAATTAATATGGCTACTTTATGTGCGTAAATATCAACTGTAAAAACAAAAACTAAATAGAATTCGCTATTTGCTTCACATATTAAATATATATTAATAGGTATGTTAGTCTCTGGAATAGAGGTCGGTTGGCAAACCTATCTTATGCCGGAACCGCACATGCGGCATTTAGCGAACTCCGAGCGCTCGTCAACTACCGAGCGCTCGTCATCGGACTTCGCCTTTCCATCCACACCATGCGGGCTCTGATAGTAACAACATAGAAACGAGCACTCGTTCTCGTCGCCGAACTCCGACTTCCCCCATCCACACACATAGGAAATCGGCGAAGCCCCGTTCGGAGATCGCCAAATGCCGCATGTGCGGTTGCGGCATTACTATTATATGTTCAGCTTGGAGATCCAAACGATTTGAGTCTTGTGGTCAGTAGAAAAGAAAGTCACTGATGTCACTTCTAGCATAAAACATACAAAGATATAATTTATGTACAAAAACTAATAGACATATTTTTTTCTATGAGCCCACCCCTTCCAGAAGTCACGAGCCGCCACTGCATTAACAAATAAAGTAATATGTTCACACTTAAACTTCTGAAGCATGAATCGCCCTTGCACTATAAATAATCATAGTATTTGATTGTTCATAAATATCTCATATACCATGAATAAAATAATATAATAAGCCAAATACGCAAATACAATTTTTTTTTCATTCCCTTACTGGTGTAAAATTATGTATTATTCTTATTAACCATTATTATGTGTTATGTGTTTGTAACGGTTCCATATACGTTTAAAGAAAGTTTTTATTTATGCCTAATAATAATAAACTCTATTATTGTGGTATTATCCACCACCTGATTTTTTTTTCAATAAAAATTATTATAGTGACAAGATATGTAAACTTTGATTTACAATGGAGTTATGTACCAGGTTCGGTGGCCAACTAAGAATGGACGCCGACTGTATCTCAGAAACTACTTATCGTATAACTTAAATCTAATAAGCAAATCGAAAAATGTCCGCTAGGGGGCGTTTCTCTGATGGCCAATCATAAAACAGGGTTTTTCTCAAAAATATGCAGATGTACAGGTATTTTCTATTGTAATCATCGAGAAATTTGTAATTTTTTTGATCTATCTCATAAAATAAAGTGGTGGGGGAAGGTTAAACTTGCTTTTATTAAAATAAGGATAACTCTGATTTGGGTTAGCCGATTTAGACAAACTAGGGCTCGTTTAAAAGAGCTTTTCTTCCTTAATGATCTCCAGTATAAATTTTGTTTCTACAATTTTTTTTGTGGTAGATAGAGGGCGCTGTTTGACATCATAACAGATATTGCGCTTTTGCATAAAAAATTTAAATAGGAGGTTATATTTTTCTTTGTGCCGTTAAATAGAGCACAACATTTCCAAAATATTAGCGCAAACCGCAACTTGCTATCTTCTCTCTAACGGGAGATTAAGAAAATAAATCATATTAGGCTGTCGCGTCGCCTAGAATTATAAGGTCTAAAAATTATAGTAGTAGGCTAGGAAACAAAAAGAGGTAAATTGGTTGCGTCAAAATATCAAAACGTTTAAGTTCAGTTTTCATGCATTCGATTTTCGGGCGTTTTTAAAAAAAAATGACGTCATAAATTTTTAAACGTGTTTATGTAACATTATCGTCCGTCCATATACATATACGTAGGTGGTTCTCAGATTAAAATAACCGAAAGTCGGACAATCAATAATTTTATTAAAATTTCTAGGAATTATATGCCGCCATATGGTTTTTAACGAAAAACGGCCGAATTTCGTATGGCCGAAAACTAGGGGTTTATTTCATGTAACGTCATTAACTTCGTTCTTGATTTCACTTGTTTTCGTGTTTTATCTGTTGTTTGTGTTATTTATTATTATATTATAAAGTTTATGTCATTTGGGTCACTTTTCATATAGCACAGGTGCGAATATTAATATGCACTACTGGTCCAAATCTACCCTTGCTGCAAGTAGTTCAGCACCAAGACCGTTGGTCGGTAAATATTTAGGCAGGAATTTTAGGATGGCGAATGATTGGACTTTTTTAATTATCTGAATGAAATGAATATCCATAATTTATGATAATTTCTAAGAGATAAATTGCCAACTTTGTTAGGGGATCCATCATGAAATTGCATTTATTGCAATTTCATCAGCATGAATGTAGTTGATACAGTTGGTGCAGTTGTGCCCCCTATTTTGCTATGAATGTGTGGGGCTTCTTAGAGACCACTTATTTTAGTAAATAGAAACGCTGGAGCGGCATATTTCGATGGCCAGTTAGGTCATCGGATTCAATATGCCTGGGTTTTAATTTATGGGGTCGAATCAAGAACGAACATGGATCAATAACAATTAAATGGTATTAAAATGAAATTAAAATATATGTTTTGATATATTGACGTAACCAATTTACCTCTTTTTGTTTCCTAGCCTATTACCATAATTTTTAGACCTTATAATACTAGGCGACAGCCTAATATGATTTATTTTCTTAATATCTCCCATTAGAGAAAAGATAGAAAGTTGCAGTTTGCGCTAATATTTTGGAAATTTTGTGCTCTATTTAGCTGTTAAGTAGAAAAAATATAGCCTCCTATTTAAATTTTTTATGCAAAAGCGCAATATCGGTAATGATGTCAAACAGCGCCCTCTAGCTACCACGAAAAAAAAATATGGAAACAAAATATATACTGGAAATCATTAGGGAAGAAAAGTTTTTTTAAACGAGCCCTAGTTTGTTTAAATCGGCTAACCTAAACCAGAGTTATCCTTATTTTAATAAAAGCAAGTTTAACTTTCCCCCACCAATTTATTTTATGAGATAGAGCAAAATACTCTATATTAAAAAAAATACAAATTTCTTGATGATTACAATAGTAATATTTAAAATACCTGTTCAACTGCATATTTTTGAGAAAAACACTGTTTTCTGATTGGCTATCAGAGAAACGCCCCTTAGCGGACATTTTTCAAATTTGAAAATAATTTCCAGCGATTTCTCTTGGTCGATCGGTAGTTTTTTTACTATGTTTACTATTTAGATTTTTTTCCCAACGTTATACAAGTAGTTTCTGAGCTACAGCCGGTGTCCATTCTTACTTGGCCACCCGGTACCTACTGTATGATAAGTATTGAAGTACTGTTAATTTCGAGAAAAATTATATATTTTATGATAAGACCTTATTTATTTTTATGTCAAAAATATTTGGCTACATAATTCCGGAAAGTACCCAACCGCCCGAAAGCATCAGAAACTTTGGATCGCATCCTGCAAGAACAGAGCGCAACATAATATTTATATGAAATTGTCCTTACGGGCACTTTCCAATCTAAACTTGTTTCGTTTTCGTTATAAGAAATTAATAATTTATATTTTAAATCGCCATTTACAAAATCTATTATGGCGCATTCTCACGACTCGTATACTTGACAAACATTTGTAAATTGGTATACAAATAAAGAAAATATCCAATTTATAAAATGTTTGATCTACTTTCATCTACTAATAATTAATTAAATAACCAAAATAATATAATTTCTCTCAAAGAGTAACCTTTATTTGAACTTTTTAATTAAAATTTTGTTAACAATTTTATTGAAAGTTATTAACAGATAAAATATATTATAAATATAAAAATACCTACTTACAGTACTTTCCGGAAGAGGTGGTAACGTATGGTTTCTTATCATCGCGGATAGTATTGGGATTTTACTTCGTTCCATTTCATAGTTCCACTCGTCTCTAAATTGGTCTTCATCCGATACCATTATTGTTTCTTCGTTTGAAGATGTAAGTCCTATAGGAGAAGCTAGAAAAAATATAATAATATGGTAATCAATAAAGTCAAGCTTTTATAAAAAATATATTGTACTCGCAAAACATTTTCTGATGCACGTCATCAATCATATCGACATTGACATTAAAGTCTATAAACCTGAAATTTTGGCGAAAATGTTTAAATTTGTTGTATAATTTAAGATACCGAGTAGCTCTTCATTTTACTTTATAGAGCATATAATTGTAACAGATATTAGATTAAAGCTGCAAAAATTAGTTTAAACCGAATTTTATTATCACTATGTTGGTCACATAGCGCCGTGTTCAGCAATGTTGTCCTTTATTATTTGACAATTATTATCCTAGTGTCAGTCATTATTTTGTATAATATCGTGTTGTTGTTGAATCTTTGTGAATAATTCCCGTTTTTTTGCCTATTTTCATAGTCTTTTTTTTTAAATTACACTTTTAAGCACAAACAGTTCTTTTAAGAAATTGTGTGTTAAATATGCCGAAGCATTTAAACAGTCGAAGCAAACAGCTTGTAGCTTCCCTGTTTTTTTTTAACTATTTTGAATGAGAACGTGACAATAAAAGTCCTTTATTACTCTTCTCTATTCTCGGACTGCAGTCAGAAAAGTAAGTTTGATTGCTAAGCACATTATACCATTTTCAAAGTTAGTTTTTATTAAATTCCGTGATTATTAGTTTGTGCATTAATAGCACCCCTTAGCCCACGGCCACACAGAAAGCGTTTTTAGCGTTTTGCGTTTTTTGCGTCTCAAGCGCTTTTTGCGATTTTACCGCTTTAAGCGCTTTTTTCGATTTGTGTCCATTAAAAATACGCAAAAGACGCGGCAGGTCTGCAGTTTCTATCAAGGTGTCAATTAGTAACGTCGCAAGCTCATGGATTCCCGGCCCGTCCAACAATCAATCCTGTAAGAAAGAGATAGGCGAGATCGGCGCTGTTAGCATTGAAGTGACGAAGATAATATATTCGGAGACAAACAATCTACTGCTAGTGGCCAGTGGTGTGTGTAAAAATAATTATTATTATTTGCCATTTATTTTACGAATTTTAGTTTATATATGTATAGTTTTTTTTTTATGTTGTAGTGTTATGGTTAGTACTTGTTATAATAATTATAATATAATATAATAAATAATTAGAATTATATAATAGAATAGTAAATATTTATAGTTACTAATACAATTTTAGGACATTTTGGAGTGAAACTTCTTTACGCGCGCTGGGAGTAAAAATTCAAGGACGTGTCATACGAGCTAGTGAGACGGCCCTGACACGAACTCGTTGTAACGAAACGTATTAACGGCTTAGAAATACGTAGTGACGCGACGTGTATTTGTGAGCAGTTCACGTGTTTATCAAAAATATTGATATTTTAATACAAATTTTGTAAAATTGAATCAAATTATTACGTGTAAAAACTATTTTTATTATTTTACGCGAATAAAATTGTCACAGTTACGCTTTGTTAACACTTAAAAACTATTTTTTTAGATGTATAAAACTATTTGTTACTGGTAGAAAACTCTATTTTTACGCGTATAAAGCTATTTGTTACGTGTAAAAATATATTTATTACACGTAAAAACTATTTTTACGCGTCAAAAACTTATTGTTTCTGGTCGAAAACCTTTCTTACGCAAAAAAAATATCTTTTTTTACGTGTAAAAAACTATTTCTTACACGTAAAAACTATTTTTTACGCGTTAAAAACTTATTGTTTCTGGTAGAAAACCTTTGTTACGCAAAAAATTTTTTACGCGTAAAAACTATTTGTTACATGTAAAAATCTATTTTTACGCGTAAGAAAATATTCCTTTAATTTATTACTTTTTCAACATTTCAAACTATACTTTTTCAAACCATTCCTTCAAATTTTTGAATTTAATAGAATCTTCCTAAACAGTAGATGTTCTTTATAAAACTATTTTTAGATAATATCCTAAAATGAAAAAAAATGCATACTATTTAATTTATTTTTACTGTATTATCAAATATAACGTACGCCTATGACGGGGTCTCATCTTAGAAAACGCTAAAGACGCCACGTCATTTGCGTTTTTTGCGAGACACGCCGAACGTTACACGCTTTTGGTGTGGCCACTCCTATATAATCCTGTTATTTTGTTTTAGTCGCTAAAGACGCTTCACGCTAAAAACGCTTTCTGTGTGGCCGTGGGCTTGTTATTACCACTTATGGACCATTTTGGTTGTTTCTATAGGGTATCTAGGAAACCGTGGGAAATATTCAAATTTTGATATTGCAGTCTCGGGTTCTTTTTTTGAAAAAATCATAATGGCGCAAACGGATCGTGGCTATCTTGAGCGGTTTCGAAGCTACAGGGGGATTCTCAAATTTTGTACTTTTTGAAGATGTTCGATAGTTTGTTTATTTCAACAACTACGCAAAAATGAATTAAACATTCTAAAGGCACTTTTCGGTGTAGAATGCAGTGGCGTAGTCAAACTTTTTTTGAAAAAATATTTTTATGATATTAACTATACTTATGTTTTTTTAAATACAACCCCTATATATTTTAAATTTCCTGATTCAGTTTGGCATGGGCTTCTCGAAAATATATAAACACTATATATTTATTTTCACTATTAACTTTAAAATTCCAATTTATTTAAAGACATCGACTTTCCTCTTGGTAGGTCATGCCGAGTATTAAAGGAAACAAGTGAATATCTACTTTCAAATTAATCCATGTATTAGCAATTAAATAAATTCGGAGAAGAAAAAATACGAAGCAAATAATTAATAAATTAATATAAAAAATAAAAACACAGAGAATACATTAAATGTTCAAACTGCTGCCCATTATTATCTAGACAGAGTTGGCACCGTCTCTGCACACCGCCGCTAACAGCATTTCGAATGTGTATGTTGATTATTCTTTGCAACTTCCCCTAGGAGATGCAAGACCTTGTCGTTGGTGGGGAAGCTCCTGGTCAGGTGCTGGGGGGAATCCCCCTAGCACTTGGCTTGGTCTAAGAAGCATCGCACTCATCGTCTTGTCCCTGACTGTAGTGTCGTGGCCAGGGAATTGCACCAAGACATATAACGATACCGGGCGGGGTTACGGACAGCCTCAACCGTGGGGCATCGGGAGGCACCCCATTGTATTTTACCTCTTACTTCTACATGCGGGGCTCTGTAGAAGTGGACCGACTGTCCCTAGCGACTCATGGGAACACTATGAGATCTGGTAATAATAGTAATAAAAACATCACCGGTGAAGCTGTGGGAAACCCTCTAGCAACACTAGGGAACAGTAACAATGAAAGTTCCAAGGGGCCAAACCCAAAGAGAACTACAGGAGAGGTGGCTGACACTTGCGTGAGACCATCCTCCGCAAGTGGCATACAAGCTACCACCTCCTCCAAGGGTCGGGAGCCTACCTCCTACCTCTAAACCCAACAGGCGACACAAGCTACCGTTTCGTCTACCCGGCCTGGGTCGTAGCTCCTCGACTGTGAAGGACACGGGTCTCCGTAGGAAGTCCTGAGACTGTATGATGAGTTAGATGTAATATAAATTAAAGTAATTGGAATATCAGCATTTAAATATCTACCAAAATAAGACTATACAGATACAGCATGTCCCCGAATTTAAAGTATCATCCGTTGTTAAAGTATCACATTTTCCAATAACTAATGTGAGCTAACGAACTAAATAAATTTTGTGCTTCTTTAACATTTTAAAACAACAAAAAATATGACGTTAATTAAAATTCTACAAATAACAATCTATCAAAGAATGAAGACAAAGTTATACTACCAGAAAAACGCGTTTTGATTTTAAAAAATTCAACAATATTTTCATGTTTTTCTCAATTAACTTCTTAATAAAGCTTAATCCTTATAATATAACTTTTTTTAACTTTTTTTATCTTTTATTATATCTGTTTCAGTGGCAAAAATGCCTAGACTTTTTTTCGAATTGAAAACAATGCCTTTCCTGTATAACTCATTCAAAATAACCACTCAAAATATGACTGAAAAAACACGGCGTCAGCGATGTCTATAAAATGAAAATCGCTGTCATTTTATACGTAAAATTATATGGGTAACGTCATCGATGTTCATTTCCAAGCCAACTGGACGCCCTTTATTTTCTATATTCTTCTATATATCTTCCATAAAAAATATTTAAATTAAAAAAAAACTAGGAACTGGATAAAAACATACATAAGCAGTAAATAAGCCTATCCAATCAATACATAATCTTAAATAACAAGTATTTTAACAAGGTAGAATAACCAACTTAAATTAGAACAATTAAATTTAATAACCTACGCCTCAGGTATAACCTACACCATCAGGTATATTGCGTTCGTCGCTTGGTATTCGTCACTTGCATCGCCCCTTCATAATCGAGCGATGTCGGTTATTTCAATAATCGAGTACTTGAGCGAATTTTCGCTCGAGTTATGCCATCACTAGTATTATTCCCCTTGAGTATATCCCAAAATCGCCTCTCGGGCTCCCCTACTATAATATAAATTACAATTTCCATGAAAATGTAAATATCTTAAAACCAGAAATTGTATAACTATTTTTGTTAAGTAAATGTAAAGCTTACCTTGAATTGTTAAAATGTTGCAAAACCCGCATAGCGTCAGAAGGTATAATTTCTGGAGCATAATCTAAAAAAAGAATAGTGGTTATTAATAATATCAAATGACCCAGAATTATTATTGATATATTATGTAAAATAGATAGTATTATCCTATTATTTCAGTATGTCTGTATCGAATTATTATACAGATAAGTTTTCAAGTTTTGTTTGAAAATTAAGTTATACTTTCTTGCAATATTATTAATTTAAATATGAAATAAATATTTCGGAATTACTATTATTTTTTTTTAATAGATACATTATATACAATATGATCGAGAAAAAAAGTGTCAAGTTATCTTAAAAGTAACAGTCGACATTTTATGTATAAAATTATACAGGGTGGTTCGAACTCAATTCCGGAAACTTATCCGGAATTCCGGAAACTTATAGCAGAATATTCTGCAGAAATAAGTAAAAAAGTTCGTGTATAAATGTATGTTCTAAATTGCTTAATATCAGAGATACAGGGTGTAGAAGTTTCTTTTTTTTTCAATTTTTTCCAAATAATTTCTGAAGTAACGTCAGCATTTGGATGAAAATTCATGTCTAACAGTTTTTTGACAGGTTTTAGCTGTTTTTAACTGTTAAGAGTAATAACTTTTCGTCCGTACCTGTATAAAACTACTAAGTGAAAAAATATATGTTTTTTATTTCAATGGTTTTTTAGGTAAAAAATGTCTCTTAATAATAATCGCTTCGAGCAACTGTTCTCAACATATTTAGAATAGAAGTAGTCAATACCTGTCATTACTGACAAAAAATAAACATTATGTCGAGTAGATAGTTATTTGACTGAAATGATAAATTTGAGAACTTTTTTTTAAATTAATCATAAATTTTTCAGCGAAAAATGATGATTAAACAGTTTCTGTTAAACTTTTGGCACAACATTTCAAATTTATGAATTCAGTCTAATAACTATTTTAAATACTATTTAATCAACATGTAATTTATGTAAATGATAATAGGTATTGATAATTTCGATTCCAAGTATCTCGAGAACCATTACTCGTGGCGATATTTACCAAGAGATCTTTTTTACGTAAAAAACGTTATATTTTTACTCGGTAGTTTTATACAGGTATGGACGAAAAGTTATTACTCTTCAAACCAGTTAAAAAATATGTAGGTTATTACAAGTAGAAGGCATATTGACATCAAAATTAAATATCTCATGTCAAAAAAATCCCAAACACCAATTTTCATCTAAATATTGACGTTACTTCGGAAATTATTTGGAAAAAATCGAAATAAAAATTAAACTTCTACACCCTTATCCCCTAGACTATTTTAGGACATACATTTATACGAACTTTTTTACTTATTTTTATCTGCAAAATATGCTACCGAAGTTTCCGGAATATAGTTCGGACCAACCCTGTATAGTGAATGTCATCTGTCGTCACTCCTAAGGTAACTTCGAACCTTTCATCCCCCACTATGAATTCACACTTCTATAATAACTTTAATAAATAATTAAAAATAATAACATAAAAAGCTCATGATTTAATTATCTGTTAATACTAACATAATATAATAATTATAAAGCTTTTAACACAAACTTTTTTAACACGCCAACTTTGCTCATATATAAAACTGATATTACTGCTTGCACTAGCCACAGCATCAATACCAAGCTAAACTAAGCAATCAAACAAGAATCGTGGCCTACTTGGTACCATCGAACGAATTAATTTATATAAATTATAAAACAAGCGGTATTAAAATACTATTATGAATTTCGCCAAAGAACTGCTGGTACCTTACCATCACGTATCTTAGGACTAACGGGACTAGAAACCTAATTAATTTGTAGTTCGTACCAATTAGAATGTATAAACAAATAATCCACTGATACAGTGCCAGTACTTAAAGATATATACAACAATTAGTATAACCATGTTATATTAACTTATTAATTAATTAAATTATTCTCTGGTCCGAACTAAGTTTACTCACTAATAAATCTAAGCTACCTTCATAAAACAAAATTCACACGCAAATTAAATTTTTTGAAAACAAAAGTGTATGAAAGGTCCACCATATACAGGGTGGCGCCTCTCATACGCCGCGGAAGCTCCAAGGAGAACGGTAGTTTATATCGAAATGAAATTTTGGCAGCATATATAGGTTCACTGAAAGCATTGTATAAAAATATATAGAATTATACAGGGTGTCCCCAAAAAAAGTTACACATCAAAGTTGTGTTTTTTCTAATGGAACACCCTATATATTAATTGATTTTCGGATTCTAAGAAAAAAATAAAGGTGAGTTTTATTGAAGAAGCATATACCTAAAATCTGATGATTTTGACATATTTCACATTTTATGAAAATGAAGAGTAAATTTTAAATTTAGATAACAGCTACCTAAATTTTAGTTGACCTTGTATAGCCTAATATTTAATTACAGTAAACATTGTATATTAAACCAAATTGAAATTTCATCGGAAAAGTTATACAGGGTGAGACAAAATTAATATGGAACATTAGACACTTTTAAAAGCAAGTTACTCCTTTATTTTAAATGGAACACCCAGTATATTTTTCCGGTGTTCAATGGGAAATTTATATATCTTCAAAATATTATTAAGGTTGCCTACCCCTCAGACAAAGATTTTCCCAGATATTTTAATTTTTATGATTTTGCGTCAGTAAATCTTTAATATTTGAAATAATCTAGGTGGCTGTGTGATATACCTTTTGTTAATTTTACAAGAATTAAAGATTGTTGAGTAAAATACACAAGGGTAATAAAAAGATACGCGTTTAAAACATATTTTAATTATTACAGAATTAAAACTAGATATAAGCTTATAATAATGCGACAAAAATTAGCTAGATTAAATCAAATGCTCAAAATGCTTCCCTTCCTGTTAACTGCATAAAGTGGTTATATTTTCAAAAGGATCTTTCCATTTTAAAAGGCATTTATGTGGAGTTCTACCTCAAAAAGCAGCTACAATAATTTCTCTTATGTTGTCGACACTATTTGGTCGAGTTTTGTAAACGCTGTCTTTAACATATCCCCATAAAAAAACCAGACTAGATAAAATCAGGAACATTTAAGTATTCTCTTAATTGGTGAATGCAGTGTGCAACTAACAGAATCATATCAATTCTCTCTGATGTAAGATAAGTTTGCAATTTCAGCAAATTTCTGAGATTTTTTTTTGTTTTAACTGACACAAAATGATAACTAGTTACTAAAGTTGGACTAATTAGACAGGTATGTTGAAGTAACGTCAGACATATCATAGCCACCTAGATTTTATCAAACAATAAATATCTACTTAGATCACATCATGTAAATGAAAATATCTAGGAAAATTTTTGTTTGAGGGGTAGGCAACCTTAATAGTATTTTGAAGAGACATGAATTCTCCATTGAATACAAAATAATATTCTGGGTGTTCCATTAAAAATAAGAGAGTAACATGCTTTTAAAGGTGATCAATTTTCAATATTAATTTTGTCTCACCCTGTATAACGTTTTGGATCAAGTTTTAATTTGATTTAAAGTACAATAGTGAATTTAACTACATATTAGGCTATACCGGGTAAATTCTAATTTAGGTAGCTTTTATTGTAATTTAAAAATTATTCTTTATTTCTAGAAAATGTTAAATATGTCAAAAACCTTACATTTTAGTTATATACTTCTCTTATAAAACTCACCTTTATTTTTCTTTCAGAATCCGAAAATCTTTTAAAATATAATGTTCCATTACAAAAAACACAACCATATGCTCACAAAATTTTATTTCAATTCAAAATATAAACTGTCGTTCTCCTTGGAACTTCGGCGGCGTATGAGAGGCGCCACCCTGTATAACTTTTTATAATTTCTAAACAAGCAGCAGAAAACAACTAAATTTTAAAATAACCATATCCAATAATCATCAGTTTGTGTAAGGATTCAGCTGCCATGTGAATAATCTTATTATAAATAGGTGCCTACAAAAGAGTTTTCCTAATTTTGTCTTCATCGTCTCATTAAATTTAAATGTGTCATGATTACTATAATTAATTTTCAGTCAGCTTCTTGATCATGAACCTCATTATCGAATTTCTTTTTGAAAATATAATTCCAAATGGCAAAGATTAAAAAACTTTGATCGTACGATACATATCATATGAATCAGAAATTGCGTTAAGGAAATTTATATAGGTAATTAAATATTGTTGAATTTTTCAACCATATTTTCATGTCCATTTCTGTATGAAAATATTTCAGTTTTAGATAAAGAAATCCGATTCATAGAGAAGAAAATACATAGTCAGATTGTCAAAACTAAATTACTTTTTTCGCAATTTTTTTTCAGTTTAGAGAATATTTTTTGGAATTAGAAAAGTTCGAGATAGAGACGTCTCACTGATATCGATCACTTTTTGTAGAAGCGCAGATTGTTTAATAACATTACGCACAATTAAATAGCATAAACATAATTTTACGATTATAGACTAATTTCGGTATCAACATAATGACAATTAGATATTTTTAATATTAATTGCTGTTTATATTATTTATTTGGTTTTATAATTGCCGGTTCAACTAAGTTCGATTTCTCAATGGGAGCTATCTTCGCTAGATAAAGTTCATTATAGTCGTCATTAATGGCGCGTCATTTAAACATTTATCTTTATATCAAAATCGAACGATTCTATTTTAATGACAAACATACGATATTTCAATATTTACTGGTTTTACAGGGAGTAAATACCTAATATTAAAATTAGTACATATTTAGTACACCCATAATAGTTGCTCGAAAAAAATATTTACCTATTTTAGCTTGTTTTTGACTAAAGATCTAGAGTCTATTTCACTAGTCCGAAAAAGTACCAAATAAGCGTTCGGCATTTAACGTTTTATGTAAAACTGGCTAGGTATTTTTACACAAATGGAGAAGGAAATTAAAGATACAGGATTATATCCGTATTGTATCACATTTTTAGACAACGTCTTACGTAATACTTTAAAATCTTAAAAATAAAGATTTTGATGGTCAAAAACATCAACAA